GCAATGCAGAATACCATCAGCAATAGAGGACTACAAATCCCAGCAATAATACATTATACAGCAATGCAGACTGCCAACAGCTATAGAGAACTACGATTCCCAGCAATACCATTATACAGCAATGCAGAATAGCATCAGCAATAGAGGACTACAAAGCCCAGCAATACATATTACAGCAATGCAGAATAATATGAAGCTCTGGGTTCGCCGCCTGATGTCTTCAGGGTCTCAGGAGGGTTGTGCGGGCTCTCACCAGGGGTCCAGAGAGTTTCACGGGTGCCTGTGGGTGCAGCAGAGGCGGCTCCCTAATTAGGCTCTCAGGTGGCCAATGCAGACTGTCAGGTGATCAGTGCAGGCTCTCTGCTGGTCAGTGCGGGATCCATAATAACTAGTGGTGGCTCTGTCGTAGCTCCCAGGTGGGTAGCGGGTGGCCAGTGGGAGCTCCCTGGTGATTTGTGGGGGCTCTATGGTGGCCAGTGGAGGCTCCCTGGTGGCTAGTGTAGGCTGACCATTCATCCCTGATTTCTGGGGACAGTACCCAGATTGAGGAGACCATCCCCTGACAAATGATGTCCCCGGAAATATAAAATAAAACATTTTTGTTTTTTAATACTCACCTGATCCCTGGATCCAGACAAGCCCAGCCTCCAGTCTCCCCCGCTGTCAGAAGCTGCATACAGTGAGTGCTGGTTACTACTTAAACCGGCGCGCTGTGTGCAGCTTCTGAGAAGATACTCTATTAGCGTAGCGGGGAAGCCGGCTGCGCATTTTGCATCACTCCCGCTACGCTAATAGGCCTGCAGAGCAAACCTCCTACACTGAGGAGCAGGCCATTGTAAAAACTTTCATTTTCATATGTCATTGTTATAACTTATTATATAACCTGTATCCTGAATCTTTATGTATCAGTTGTATGTATCAGTTGTATGTATCAGTTGCATGTATCAGTTGTATGTTTCAGTTGCATGTATCAGTTGTATGTTTCAGTTGCATGTATCAGTTGTATGTATCAGTTGTATGTATCAGTTGCATGTATCAGTTGTATGTTTCAGTTGCATGTATCAGTTGTATGTATCAGTTGCATGTATCAGTTGTATGTATCAGTTGCATGTTTCCCTTATAAGTATCAATTGGTAGACATGTGCACGGCAAAAAAAATTGTTTTCTGACGAAACAAATGAACACGAAAAAAAAATTCCACCCGTGTCATCAAAGAAAATGAATTTTTCTGCAGTGTCAGATTCAGAGGCAACGTGCCTCCGAATCCGAAACAGCGCACTGAAACTGCAGAACGAGCGGCAGCCATGCCGCCCGGCGGAGCGTTCAGTGCTTGCGCGCCTCACTCTTTGAGTCTATCTTGGTATACACCAAGATGGCGGCGCCGGCATGTTTCGCCTCCACCATCTTGGTGTATATACCAAGATACACTCAAAGATGGTGCCGCACGTTCTGCAAACGAATGTATGTATGCCCAAATATAGTTTTCGTATGTTCGGACATATAATAAATTCGTTATTTCGGATTGGGACGAACTTGCGAATCAACTGAATTTCGTTGATTTGCAGGTTCGTCCGAATCCAAATGCACATGTCTATTAATTGTATGTATCAGTGTTTGTATCAGTTTTCCGAATGTCCGAATTTACGAAAATTCGTCCGAATTTCGATTCGGAACGAAACGAATCGCACATGTCTAGTTGTATGTATCATGTGTATATTTTGCTTGTATGCATCCGCTATATGTATCAATTGTGTTTAACAATTTTGCACACAATTTCCCGGTTAATATTTTCTTAAAGGGACTTTGCTTTGGTCACATGACATCATGTCTCCTCCTCCTCCAGCAGTGGGCGGGTCCTGAGTGCTGCAGGGGATTTGAGACTGATAACGTACATCATTATGTTCCATATGTTGCTCCCCGGACCATTCTCCTGTGTAACTCAGAGCAGTTTGCTATACACCCCCTAGGGGGCAGATCCTTGACAATCTGGGCTCAAAGGATTGAATCTTGCTGGGTGTGATTCAACCGGAAATACCACCGGCAGCAGAGAGTCTCCAGGGGACTGCGCCAGATAGGAGGTGAGCATTGCAGCATTTTCTTTTAGTAAGTTCAATGTTATATTTTAATTATTATTTAATTTTTAATAGTTTTAATAATTTTTAATTATTATTTTAATTATTATTAAAACATTAAAATTATTTTTAATGTAATTATTTTGATTTAAAATGAATGCAGGCTTAACGACTTGCTGCCTGCTCATGTACACCGGCCACACTACAAAACACCACCCTGGGAATGCGCTTACAAATCATTCTTTATCTTCAACTGCCTCCTCATCTATACTGTAACTCTGAGAATGACCGTTGTACACGGAGAAAGGTGGGTTAGGAATCATTAGGAGTTGCAGTGATGTTCCAAGAGGCCGATAAACACAAAGAGCTCAAATAAGAAAAAAATTATTTACAATCTATTAACCTTATTTCCATTTATATATTGTAACAAGGGCACTCGACTGCAGTCAGGAAATGCAGTTTTATTATGGCAAATAGGGATGCACCAATACCGGTATTTTGGTATCGATATTTTTTTTTTTTACTTGCCGATACCAATTACCGAGTACCGGAAGTCCTATTCAGGAAGCCAGGTGGCGTGTAAAGACTCACCACCCGGCTTCCCAATTAACAAGAAAGTCGTCCCATGCTTCTCGTCACTAGATGACGAGAAAGCATGGAGCCGGCTTGCTGGCCAATCATGGAAGCCGGGTGCCGTGTAATGACGCGGCGCCCTGCTTCCTGATTGGCCGGGAGGCCAGCTCCATGCTCCCTCGTCATGAGATGACGAGGGAGCATGAAGCCGGCTTCCCGGCCAATCAGAATGCTGGGCGCTGCGTCATTACACGGCGCCTGGATTCCTGATTGGCCAGCTTCCCAACCAAACAGGAAGCCGGGACAGCGCATCATTTCACGCTGCCCGGCTTCCTGATTGGCCGGGAAGTCGGCTCCCTGCTCTCTCATCACAAGTGACGAGAGAGCATGCGTGTAATGACGCGCTGCCAGACTTCCAGATACTGGAAGTATTGGGCTCGGCATCGGAGCATTTGGGCGAGAACGAGTACTCACCCAAATACTCGGTATCGGCACCGATATCGATACTAGAATCAGTATCGGTGCATGCACTGGCCCTGTGCCTCCTGCACACACACAACTCTCCCAACTCTGAGCACTGGTCTGGCTTCCCAATGAGGCTGCTCTCAGCCACATGATCAGCCCAGGCTGGTCATTGGCAACACCTGGCCCCAGGACTGGAGATCTCATCCGACCCAGAGCTCTAAAGGTGCCCGTACACCTGCCAATTATCGTACGATAGTTGTGGGTGATCCCGCGATCGTACGATAATCGACAGGTGTAAGGACATCATGCGACCACATCTACTGTGCGGTCGCACGACTTTCATCTTCCTAGCAGTCGATTTTTCAGCGGGTTGGTAGCGTCCTCGGAAGCCCGCTGCCCGCTCAGCATTGCAATTATCGGCAAGCCCTCCCCTAAGTGGGGAGGGCTTGCAATGATCGCAAGTATGATCTACCTGTCCAAGATGGGCAGGTCGTACGAAATTTTAATGACCTTACAACGAAAGTTGTGCGATGGTTGTAAGGTGTATGACCAGCTTAAGAAATCTCCAGAGCTCCAGATCCTAGCTACAATTCTGAAAACCCGGAAGAATCTGAAAGGCCAGGTTCTTCCTTATAAAATGGTTTACTCTCTGGACCCTCCCAGCCCCTCAGGCTGCGAGTCCTGGGTGTCATAGATGCCATACTACACCGTGGCATTGGCTTACACTGCCACAATATACACTGAGTGGCCAGTTTATTTTGACCACCTGACATTTGTATGCAAATTAGCTATAATTAGCTAATTTGGCGCTGAAGTTGCTAGAGGGCCAAACCATTATAAATAGGGAAGCAGGTTGGTTACCACGACAGTAGAAGCGATTTGTTTCTGAAGATACGGAGAAACAACGCGATTTAACAGCCTTTGAACGCGGGATGATTGTTGGCGCTCGGAGCCACGGAGCGAGTATCAGCAACACAGCAGAATTCGTTACATGATCAAGAGGGGCTCATTGTTAAAGTGTTTAAAGACCGGACTGTCAGCCGAAAATCTGGGTCTGAACGTGCGAATTGTGGCCGTCAGCGACTAGTCAGTGTTAGGGCAGAATGGAGAGTGGCAAGACTGGTACAAGACAACAGAAGGGCAACAGTGCCGTGTCAGATTCCTCGCATCACCTTTCATCATCGCGTGGAGTCACGAGGCGGCCCAACCAAGTACTGATGGGGTGGTCATAATAATCTGGCTAATTTCCATTATTATATATATATTTCCATTTTTTCCATGATTTATATATTTTTTCGTGCCAGTGCCATCCATAGATAAATCTCCGGTACACACAACTCTGTACTGCTCCATGAATTTCAGTGATACCAAAATACAACATGTGACCGACCAATAACGTGTTTACCCAGGCGTGATAGAAGTTTGTTGTAATCCAACTTTATTATCCCCACTCCCCTCAGAACAAAACAAAAGGACGGGACAATATCTAGAATTTTCAAAAATATTTAATACATTGCCGGTGGATGGAGACACTGGAACTCCAATACCTCTGCAGCCAATAGATTCTTTTTTTTAAATGAGAGAACTGTCAATGATAGTGGCCAAAAATAAAGCAACATAATAAAATATACACAAAATACTTCACAGCTAAAACAATATTAATAAATATTGCAATGCAAAATACTTTTATTTATATACAATATTTATTTAAAGAAACAATTATATAAAACATACTTTATTTATTTGTTTATTACAGAGGTGCTTTGTATAAAACTATTGTTTCTCTTTACACATATCATGTTATTCCTTCCCTTCACTGCACACCATCACTATACATCAATTGAAAGCGTGATTCATTTTCATTGGTCTGTTTCTGGGTTATACATTGTGTCAGAAGGTATCGCCGGCTTGAGCCGTGAAGTGGAACCCACTGGCAGGAAACGGGCAATAGGTCCGAAAGCGAGGCACAAAGGCGTAGTCAAGGTTTAGTCCGAGTCGAGGATCAATAGCGGGAGGACAGGCCAAGGGGTCAATAACCAGGAGTTCAGATGAGGGGTCAGGAAGCTGCAGCAGTATCTGGTTCAAGAGGTAAGTGCACCATATAGGCAGAATAACTCAGCAACAAGCCAGGGCTCTGGCTGGAATATATACCCAGTGAGAACCAGGACCGCCTCCGGTCGCCGAGACAACCAGGAGGCTTCCCTGTCCAGAAGCCAATGACGGGAGGCAAAAAACGAAAGGTGTGTGCTAGGAACCTCCCCCAGCAAGACCCACACCTGACAACACTAATGGCAGTGCGCGCAGCCTGTCCGTCGCGCAGCCTGTCTGCCGCGTGTGTGCGCACATCGTGCATGCGCACCCGCAACCCTTTCACCTACTGTACACCATACCCGGGGGGCCACCCGGTACGG